CAGGGGAATCTCTGCTCCAGCGCCTGGAGCACCCCCTCCCCATCCTTCACTTACCTGGGTACCTGCAGGGCTGCTCCTCTCACGTATTCTCACTCCGCTCTCTGTGGCTGCAATTGCTGTTGCACAGTAACGTTTTTTCCCCATTCTTAAATACATTATCCCAGAGGCGCTACCACCATCACTTGTGGGCTCGGCCTTGGCCAGCGGTGGGTCTGCCTTGGAGCTGGCTGGCATTGGCTCTGTCGGACACAGGGAAAGCTTCTGGCAGCTTCTCACAAGAAACTTTTCCTCCTCCTGTGCTTTGGGAATATCATACTGCAATGTCATGGAGAAGAACAATTCTCCCAAGTCTTCTCCTTGTTCCTGGAACAAGATTCCAGCAGAATTCCTGATTTCTTTTTCCCTTGTGAAAATCCAGTAATTATTTTTTTTTTCCAATCACACTAGAAGGCAAATGATGCTATACCTTCTGAGATCCCAATTACTTTTTCCCAAAGGAATTTCAAAGGCAGAGGGTGCCTCCTTTTTCAATACAGCAGAAATCTCTCAGGTGTCTATTTGAACCTTTTCAGAGTACTTAGTAAAGTTTCTGAGACCTGCGCTAAAAACATAGTATACTGCTCTGAAAGGTGCATGTGGTATATTGTCTCCAAATCTTGTTTCTGTTTTACAGGTACAATAAATACACTTTTCATAGAAATCAGTGTTGCTCTACAGAGTGACTAATTGCGTTAAAAAGTGGAGACAAAGGGGAGGGGGCTTGTTAATGTGATTTATTAAACTATTATCTCAGTTGGAGTATTCAGGAAAAGAATGATAAAACGAAAACTGCTGATTTTTGTTCTAGGTTCAGAGTCCTTCTTGGATGCAGCCTCAACCATATATAATGCAGCACCCAGTAAGTTTTTCTGCTTCTCTGTTGTTGTGTTACTGATTGTATAATCACTTTGTGTACTTTAAACAAGAGGAAATAGGTCAGTTCCCACCCAATTACATCCAGAGTTTTGACAATTGCATCACGATTAAATCATGGATCAAAATGAAAAGAGAAACAAAGATAGTAACCTGAATCGGAGCCTCATTTTATTAGGAAAAAAAGAAATCTGCCTTCAGGGTATGGAGGTGATGAGGACGATTAAAGTTACTAAGTTAGCATTCTGAGGAAACTTTTTTCTTTTATTTTTTTTTTTTATTTAAATGAAAATCACTTTGCAAATACAAACATTTTACATACTGTTGACCTATCAGGAGCTGGAATTGAAGACCCGAGGTTTTAGAATGGGTCTAGAACAGTTCAGGCTGCATCATTTGTGAAAGACAGATGGATGTAGTCATATAAATGACATTATGGGCACTCGCTTGAGAAAAACCTGCATAGCTTGTTCTGGCTTCACTACTCATGAGTAATGCTAGTCTCCCTACACTTTTGGCTGTGGCATCTGGACCAGACTGTCAGGCATTTTAATCTATACTCTCCTATGATATTTTGCTCCTTATCTATGTCATTTGCCAATTAAGTACCATTCTATCTGAGACTTATTAGGTTTCTTGAGATGAGCATTACAAATAATAACAGGCGCTTTAATATATGCACTCCTGTAGTTAACAAACAAGTCTGTTTCCAGATATAGAAAGGATATTGTCTTGACATTAATTAACCTCTCCATGCAGATTATAGAATGTAAATCTTCTTGGCAGAATTTTTTCTTTTGCCTGCAGAGAAGGTGATACTGAACTAGAACACCCTCTCACACACTTAATTGTTGGTGTATTTGTGGTTTTTGATGTTAAACATGCGCAGACAACTGGTTTTAACTTTTCTCCCTGTCAACACAGATTTTCATAAAAAACCACCTTGCAAATCATGCTGTGAAAGACACGAGTTGATAGGATATAATGCTATAAAGTGTATTAGTTTCACAGGTATACAAGATGAGATTTCACGGATGAAAATAAAGGTCTGGATTCCCGACTTAAGTTCAGTTTTGGCCAGTGCAGAGACTGGTGCTGTCTTGCTCATTTGCTTTGCAGAGAAGCCTGCAGTCTACAGACAGGAAATTCTTTTAGTGTTTGATGTGCCTGTGACTCATTTCATCTACACTGATCACATGGTTGTTTTTCCAACTATACTCTGTACGATTTTTTTTTTTTCTTTTTTTCTTTTTGAGGATTAGTTATTGACTCAAAATACTGTCTTTCAGGACACTGCAATTATTTCTGCTAGTTTTGAGCTTCCATCAGTTTTAATCAACACTTCTGCAAGCATAAGTCATACAGAGTATTTGGAAACATGGTTTTGTAGAACGTGAGTGGTAAAATGAGATTTGTTGATAACCCTCCATTTCAGATCACTCTGAAAACCTTACGAGTGTGCCCTCTGTATTTAGCAATCTCAAATGTTAAAAAATTCAACGTATACTTTTTATGAAGTTAACAAAATGGTACAGGAGTGATGGAAAGGTCATCACAGTAGCTAGTATTTAGACAAAGAATCAGCATTGCTAAGCCACTCTTCTAAAATGTGTGGGCTAATGAAACCAGCCATTAAATAGGGCAGCTGTCTTGTGTGCGAACATCACACGTGACGGGTAGAATTCTCTTAAGACAAATGTTCCTCCAAAACCTCCATCCATAAAGAGAAGGTAAAAGTTTTTCCTAAAGCCTGAAATTCCAAAGCTTAATTTAAGGGTGTCTATACCTGGTAACATATGCAGATATTTGCTGTAAAGTTAGCGTCTGGTTAAACTCATATTTTACCAAGTGTTTTCAGCAGGTGTCTCAAGTGTGTTGTATATCAGTTGCGTGTTCAGTAGGAAGTCAGTGTAGTTCTTGTCCCCTTACCAAACTGTGCAAAACGTATCTGCTTGAGTAGAATATTCACAGTGCCCCAGACCTGCTTCCTAAGCTGGTGCCTGGGGTTAAGGAGGGTTCTTGCGGTATATCCCCTTGGAAGGACAGCCCATACTTAGGTTCTCAAATCAAAAATGTAATTAAAATCTGAGTGTTGCCGCAACCATTTCTTTCTTTCTCTGTTTTAATAGGGTGCTGTACTGACTCCCTCCATGGACCACACCATGTCACTACAGCCTGCATCAATGATAAGCCCTCTGACGCAGCAGATGAGTCATCTTTCATTAGGCAGTACTGGAACAGTATGTAGCAATTTAATACAAAATAGAACTTACAGAAGTAGAAAATAGTGCATGTAGATCACGGTATGCATGTGCGGGTTGCATGTACACAAAAAAGTAATCTTTTAAGTAGCCTTTAATCCAATAAAATGTTAAGAACTGTCTCCATTTTTAAATCATATTCAGCAGTTTTTGTTCAGCCTATTAGCTGATCAAAAATTGGAAATCAATAAATAAAAATGGGTCAAAGGAAATTAAAGGAGCCCAGGAGGTAACTCCAGAGTTGTATTGAAAAAGAAAAATATAGTTGTGTTTCCTCTTCAGGAGATCGGAGTTGCAGAAAGTAACACAAAGTGCGGAACAGAAACTAAACGTGGCAGGCTAGCTTCTAAACTGAAAGACCCTTCTTTTCTGAGCAGATAGAATTAAAAAAATAAAATATCATGACTGGGATTAACCAAGAAGTAGATGTCCTTTACCTAGTCTTTGAAGTCTAAATTTGAGTTTTCTCAAAACAGGTATCTCACTTTTCTGAAAAGCCTGTTTATTTCAGACACAAGTCTTTCTCTGGCGTATATTGCTTTACGGAAACAGTCAATATGTATTAAACAGTATCATAATAGGTATTTTGAATACTCTTGAATTTACATTGAGCTTTAACTCAACTTAATGGATTGTCTGTCTTTCTAGTACATGCCAGCCACAACAGCTATGCAAGGAGCCTACATACCCCAGTATACACATGTCCAGACAGCAGCGGTTCCTGTTGAGGTCAGTATATTTTATAAAAAAACAGAGATAAGAGACACAAATGTGATATTAGATTTTTATTTTTTTTTGCTAGGTAAACTACTGTTTAAAGCCTAACACTGTAACTGTTAATGTACTGTGAGTACAATGTATATTAAAACTATTATTCTCAACTAATATAACTAGTATTATAATAAAGAATGACCTGTACTTGTAGCAGTACAGGACTTGGAGCAGTCTTCCATATGAGCATAGCTCAGACAAGCTTTGTGTTTCGTGAAACTTCCCATAGGAACAAGACAGGGGATATTGTGTAGTTTCGATCTTTCATTTAGTTTTCCTGTGACCAAACTTCTCTGCCAACAGACCATGATTGCAGCTTTTTGCAAAGAATCCCAATTTTACCCTGGCATCTCAAGATACCATGCATATTTGCCTAATAAAACCCTCTGCAAGTCCAGTTGAAGAGCATAACTAAACAGTAGGCAATAGTTTGTCCACTATTTTGACTTACCGTACACCCTTTCGTAGGTCGATCCTTCTTTAACAGAGGAGCTAGACAAGGTATGCTGCAGCTCTTGTATTCAGAATGAGTGCTAGACAGTCTCTTCCAGGGCCTGTAAGAAAAAAACATTTCATTTCAAAGTCTTTATTTGTCCGGAAACTGCAGGACTTGTTTGGTTCAGTTTATGCATCTGCCCATGTGGGTTGGAGAAAGACTTTTGGTAATTAGCTGATTGCACTGTCTGCCAGAGCGCTATCAGCTGAATTAATTCCCTGGTTTCTGGGGGTCTGTGTGTGAAGTCCCAACTACAATTCTTTGTGTTGCCTAGTGCTGATCACACCATGGTACTCAAAGCGATAGTGTTTGTACATGTGGTAAGTAGATCTTATTCTTCTTGCTGCCCCTCAAAAGGAAAGGGGCAGAATGCTCTTTTTGCATTTACACTTGCAGATAGAAAGTATACTAGCAGTTATTTGCTCCCTCTATGTATTTATTTCTATAATGTCAGAGGGGTTTTTCAATTATCATCAAAGCAGCTGGGGAAATACAAGGTTTGCGTGGTCATTTTATGTCTCTATTTGCTGAAACGTAAATCAATGTGAAGTTAACACCTCAAATTTGGAATACCCCACTTGAGAAATGTTAGAACGACTTCAGGTTTCAAGACCATTAATTGCATGAGTCACATGGAAATGCAGATTGCAGACAATGCTGCCTGATTTTGTGTCTCATGTCTTGTCTTCCTTTTTATTTGCAGGAAGCCAGTGGTCAACAACAGGTTACAGTAGAGACGTCCAGCGACCATTCTCCATATACGTATCAGCAAAATAAGTAACTGTGAGGTAGGGGCTCATCCTGTAACATAAAAGATGTGAATTCAAAGATACTTTATTTTGTAACTTGCAGTACTCTGTGTCAAAACTTCTTTTTTTTATATCGTATAAATAACACTGATAGTACCTGGGACAGGCAGTGAAGTTAATTTGAACTTGGCCAGAATTAGAAGCCAGGAAAGGAAGCACAGGTTCCAGAAGTGAGTTAATGAATTATGAGTAATAGTGTTTTAATAATTTCTCTATAGCGTAATGGTATTATGTTGTATTTTAATTTGTTCATCTTGGCAGCATGCTGTATACAAGAAAAACAATGAATTAGCGCAAAAATACTAGAATCACAACACTAAAGGGAACTGTATTTGCACCTATAAGATGCTCTAGTTATGTGGTACATGTAAGATTTGGAAGCAGCTTTGCAACTAACTTACAGACCGCAGGCAGGGGAGGGGTCTGGTAGAAATCCTTGCTGACCATTTCTCCTGAAGAATTCCCTGCTCATCCTTTATTCTAGGAAAAAGCAGTTTGGGCCAGAATTTTGTGAGTTAATTTTTAAGCCACGTCCTAGCTTGGCTCTAATTCCATAGTTGTTTTACTTTTCTACTCCAGGTTTCCTCTGGTTTTGCTTGCATGGCCTTTCTTTACTAACCAATCATTAGCTTTACCTGAGCTCCTGCCATGCGAAAATTTTTCTTTCCATAGATTGCCGCCCTCAAAATATTGTTTGCACTAACCATCCCGTTCTCCATCTTCCATGTCTTAAAATTCTGGAATTTAGTTGTTCTTTAATTCATCTTTTTCTGAGTGCTTTGTAAACCAGGCAACTTGACTACAAAACTTTTTTTACCGTATTTTGTAAGACCTCATACTGAAAAATTCTGTTTAACAGCAATAATGTGCTAGAGAACATATTAGAAGGGCTTTTCTATAGCCCTCATGGCGTTTATTAGATATTCAACAATCATAATCAGTTATGTGTGAGGAACTCCTAATTGTGTGATACTTTTCCTAAAATGTATAGATCTAAGAGTACACACATTTTGCCCTTACCTTTGATTTTGCAGGTCAGCTATGTTATTTGACAACACCGCTCTCATCCCCGTTATTGGCATAACTGCTTCTATATTATATGCTCAAGAATGTAAAGATAGAAACAAACCAATGGGGAAACTTCTCACATTCAACAGATGGCACAGTCTGCATAGCGCAACATATGACCTGTGTTTATTATTGCAGTCTGGCCAAATGCCGGCATCTAGAGAAAGCCCACATCCTTGATTTGCATCCAGGGCAGGGAGAAAGCAAAGCCACAGGCTCTGCTCATTATCCATCTCCTAGCGTTAAAATCATGGCTCCTGCACGTTTCCTATGCCAAGGCTATTGGCTGGTGTTAACTGTTTTTCAAGGAATTATTTGTTTTGCCTTAAGTCTTCCCTGCGGGCGTGTAAAACCTCCTTACCAATAGAGATCTGTGGTAGACGGCGAAGCGTAATCCTGCGTGTCATCTCCCTCTCCCAGCCTGTCAGTATCGTTCCCATAGGCTGGGGCCAGGCAGGAGGAGCAGCATTGAGTCTCCCACAAGGATGAGATGTGTTGCCATCTGAGACACGTTTTATAACGATGACTCTGCGTAGAATACTGAGCTCTCTGAGCAACTCTGTGCTCTTGCTGTAAGCCAATCCTCCGCGTATTTTATTCTTTGGAGAAGCACCATTACCTGTATTTATATGCAGTAGGAGCCAGTGAAATCTATGTCAGTAACGGCTATGGCAGCAGGCATGTGGGGAGGGTTAATATTACTCAACTGATTTCAGCCTCAGAGTATGGCATTTGGTATTTCTGTCCCTGGAACATGTTGGTACTTGTCATTTTTCAGACAGGTGAAGGGGAGGGGATTGACAGCTATTTCATGCCCTAAATACAGGGAACGCTGCGGTCTCTTAATTGTTACGGCTTCGTTACTATTGTCAAATTGAAACATCTTTCTAGATGCACACGCAGCACTTCTGGGAATGTCCTATTAAAAGTCAGTGCACGTATTGCCATAAATACGGGGCAGATGACAGCACATTTGCACAAGTGGACGCAGTCAGTCAGAAATACTCAGCCTCTTCCCATTGACAGCTACATTTAATAACTTTATAGCTTCTTTTCAAAAAGTTGCTACTATGTGAAAATAGTCAAAGAAACTTGTAAAAAAAAAAAAATAGTTACCATTATACATGCATCTATAAATGTACAAGCCTTGAAATACCAGACTTCGTCTTGCCTTGAGAAATTAAAAATTTGAATAAACTTTATTTTCATTAGCTGGGTATTTTTTTAAACCCATATGGCAATGTAAGCCAAGACAGTAAATGGAGAAGTCTTCCTTCGGATTTTATGAGCCCTCAATAGCTGTTAAGCATTAACCATCGCGGAGGCCCTGTAGCTGCCTCTGCGTTGGCTGTTGTAACTTGTCTCCCCGAGGCTGCACCGAAAGAAGGCTGTGTTCCTTTTCCAGGGATCAAAAGCCTTGGAGATGGCGCAGGAGTAAGCTCACGCACTCAACCACTTTTGGTCAATTAAAAGGAAACAACAGTAACAAAACAACAAAGAAGGAAATAGCTTTGAATGCAGTCTCACGCGTCCCCAGTGGGACCTCTGCATGCTGAACAGGTATTAGAGGTGGGGGGGGGGGGGGGGGAGGGGAAATACAGGTGGCGTCCTGGCAGAGAGCCTTACCTGGGAAGGGCCAAGCACCTGTAGTGCTGCCTGTGTTACTGCTCCAATTTGTGCTCTGATTAACTTGGTCTTCTCACAGCTGTCTGAAATAGGAGATGATTTAGTTTTGTGGACAGCGACGTTAGACAAAACCCCATGCAATTGTAACTCTGCTCTAGCTCTGACCTTTCTGTGTTACAGATGCCCAGTGTTGACCTGGCCTGGAGAAGGGTGCAAAGGCTGAAACAATCATGGATTTTACTGATCAATTGTGCTTTAGGAATTATTGACAGTTTTGCACAGGTTCTTGAAAATGTTATTTATAATGAAATCAACTAAAACTATTTTTGCTATAAGTTCTATAAGGTGCATAAGAAAAACCTTAAATTCATCTAGTAGCTGTTCCCATGAACAGGTTTATTTTAGTAAAAAAAAAAGTTTTTATCAAGTGTTATGACGCAAAAAAAATTATTCAAATTTCTGGGTATGCACAGATGACCACGAAGACTTATTCACGTGCATGACAGAATTTGTGTTTTGGTTTATTTTTATTTTGTTTGTTTCTTTTTTTTTTTTTTTATTGTATGAAATGGGTTTTCTGAAGTTTAAAATAGTAAAACATCTAAGATGATGTTCTGTGCTTGCAGTGTGTGAGTGTTGCTTTAGTGCAGTGTTGCAGTTATAGTGTCTGGTCTTTTAGCTTTCTGTTTTTCTTTTAATGTAGTGTGAAGTGTCTTATCCTTTTTCTATAAATTCCAATTTGCCTTAAATCTTTCAATGCTGTAGCTGTTTCAGTAAGTAGTCCAAACTAATGGTGTAGAATGCTTTGACCAAATGAGCTGGTCTATTATGCCTTGTAAAACAGCAGCATAGGGCTTTTAAAGGTAGTCAATAAAAATTGCTGAAAATTTGGCTTTTTTAATGTGTAGTAAGTGTTTTTAATGATTTTTCACATAATATGTAAGGTAGTGAAATGCAAGAGGGGAAAAAATGTTTTGTGTGAAACACATTTTCTGACTGGGGAAATTTTAATAGGATAAATTGTTTGTAAGGCCATATGCCAATAGTTCCCTCTGGTAGTTTGAATGATTTAGGAACTCTGCTGTATGATGCAATGTAAAATCTTTTTTTGCCTTTTTTCAGAAACTAACTTGATGTTCTAGTTTTAGCATAGGTAGAGTAGGGAGTTTGGGGTGGGGATATCACCGAATGTTTTTGTCCTTCCTTTATACTAATGATAGTGCTTTAGGGTGAGGATTGTGCTGAGACTTAGCAAACAGAAAAGTTGCTATACAGCAAAATGGCAAAAGCTAAAGGACTTGTTTTCAAACATACGCTGAGATGTAAGTAGAAGCATAATTGATTGGGTACTAGCTCTCTATAGTAGGTAAATAAAAATAAAAAGACTTGGCACTTTTAAAAGGTAACTTTACCAAAGAACAAAGAGCCAGTAACCAATAATTCTGATTTGTCTCAGCATTACGTCTTCTGTACTCTTTATTTTTGCCGGACCAGTTTGCGGTTAGGAGAATGTGCCTTTTTTGTACATTTGCATTTAGGTTTTATAATTTTAATTGATGTATGGACACAAAAGCATGAAGGAAGACTTGGATCCAAGCAGTGCCACACTTTACATCATCACTACAAGTGTTAAGTGTAAAGAAAACCAATTTTGAAACTATGAAATTCCTGATTCATAAATACACAGTTATTTGTACTTCACATATTAGATAATTCACTGCTACTAAAGCTCTTTATTACAATTGCATATGTTTTAAATCGAATGATAAATTAAGTTGTCTTCCAAAACTGTGTACTTCTCTGGTCAGCTGTATATGATCAGTTATCTACCTCAAAGTTTATTTCCTTTTGTATTGGGACAGGTTGCTGGCCCTCCCTGTTTCCACAGACCAAATCATCCTAGCTCGGGAGCTAGGGCTAAGCAGTTGTTTCTTTCAAGTATTTTTTAGTTTTTAAATTTTGTGTGAGTATTGGAGTATAGATGTCGGTGACATTTCATAGTTTCAAAAGTAAATTGCTGCTCTGAGAAGTGTAGATTCTAGTGAAATACATAGTCATAAGAGATGTGTTTTTGTTTTTTCTTTTTTTAAAAAGTTGTGGTATTATTGGTTCTATGCTCCCTGGAATATTACTGCTTTGTAAAAGTCCAGACTTCCTGCAGCACCTTGCCTGTATCTGGTAACTTTCCAAACCTGGATCTCTCACTACTTGATACTTTTGCGTTAATTAAAACTGCAGTATGATAGCTGTGTTAGAGGGAAGGAGGAGCTGCTGCCAGAAATGTCTGAACTAAGTGCCATACTCATTGTCTGGGTAAGATTTGGGAAATTTAACCTCTGTACATAAAGAAATAATCAGTTACTTAAACATCACATAGTAGACAGCCATTAAATTATAAAAAATTAATTTATGAAGAAAGACCTTTTGTACAGATTGAAAAAAAAAGATTTTCATAGAGATATCTATATGATCAAGAGAGTTAATTTTTTATTTTTGTTTTACTAGTGCCACAAACTTGCCAGTGGTAACTTATTTGTCCGGTTCAAGATAACTCTGTAGTTTTGTTTCCTAGGACTTGTTGTTAAACGCCAAAAGACATTTTTGAACTGTAAATTTGATTAGATTGTTAGCTTTTTTCTGTTTTATTTCTTTGAAAACTTTTGAATAAAAAAGATCCAAAAAAATGAAAATGCATCGCCTTTTTCCTTCAGCTGTTCCTTTATCGAGGGGGAAACCCAAACAGGTTACAGTGAAACCTTTGCGTTTGTTTTGAAGCGCTCGGGAGCTGCATTCTGCTTTACAGTCTGGGGGTTTCCCTCCTCTGTCTTTGGTTAAAAATCAAGTTTTAACTCTTTCAAGTCACCTATTCTTCCAGACAAAACAGGAAAAGACATGTGAAAAATACACGATGAAATACCTGCTTTGAATGCAAGAAGTCTGTTGTTCTGCGTGTCTGTCCCCACTGAGAGGTGAATACAACCAGGCCTGCGCCCCGTAGTTGTAAATGCAAGAGGTAAGGGTGGAGGCGGAGGGTCGCTTTGGGAGTTCATAGCATTGAATTGCTGCCCGAAAGTCCTTTTCTCTTCCCAAGTGCAGTGGCATTGGCTGGCATACCCACTTCTGGAGAGCAGAGGTGATACTTCACTGGAATTAAAAATTATCCCAAGTGTTTGCTTTCCAGCTGCAATCTTTGAGCATTTTATTTCTTTAAAGATAATCTCGGATTTTATTATCCTTTTGGCAAGATCACCATTGCCGATGGTGTGTATCAGATAGAGGACTGCCCTGCCCTGCCCACAGTAGGGCTTGGAAAAGAAATAGAGTAAAACGTCAACTAGAGTGTCTCCTCAGCCAGGTGCTTTTCCGGTCACACAGTCCTCAGCCATAGCTTTGTATCGACGCGTATGGCAGGAGAGGGGCTCTGACCTAGTCTTGGGCACCCCAGGGTGCACCCGGAGGCAAAGAGCAGTGACTGGGTGACTGGGGGCGGCTCCTGCGCCTTAGCCACTGGTGCTGGAGAGGCAAAGGGGAGGCTCGCTCACTGCAGGCTGTACCATCCCGGAGAACCCTCCCCACCCCGGGAGACAGTCCTTTACATTATACACCTGGTTTTTGGCATATCCCGGGGACATATCCCCAGGCAGCCTTACTGGGAGGGTCAGTGGGGGTCGCACTGCAGGCAGCACGCAGCCCAAGCTTTCGGTCAGACGATGCTGAGGCAAAATACTGAGATCCACTGTTTCCAGTGGAGCTAGCAAAAGGGACTCACTCACCTAGGGGTTAGGAGACTTGGTTTGCATTAGCTCATGCAATATAGACTTCCTCAACAGTGATGGCTTTTATTATGAATGAAGAGAAAAAACCCTCACGCTGTCTGCTGCTGAACACATTTAGACTCCTGTAACTGAAGAAATGCCATTTTACCATTTTGTGGTAACTTAAATACTGGCCCAGTATGTTGCCTGTCTAAAATGCAATGGATGAGAAGATGAATATACAAAACGTAAAAGATTTTGTTACATTATTCCTATTCACCACCATACTGAATTAATCTCAAATTAATAAGCAGTCTTTTTGAATTAAGTATGAATCCTGCCTTACCAAAGCTACATGTTATAGGCTTAGAATAATGCAGGTTGGAAAGGCTTTTTGCTATCTATTTGCTTTTCTAATTAACCCCATGATAAACTTAGCTCTTTTACTCCAAATATATTTGATAAGAATGAATGCTTTCAGATTTAGTACCTTTTGCCTGATATAATAAGGTTGTGTGTATCATTTCTATCAGGCAATCTGCAATAATGCAATGTCTTTATGTAATATACTTTTATTATATATAATAAAACTCATTTATTACCAACTGGCTTGTTCAAACAGTGACTCCATCCTGTTGCATACAATTTGTTTTGAACCCTACTTGCAAACATGCTGTTAATAAAACAGTTTACCTCTTAACAAATACTGAAAAGCATCATGTTTGCATAGGATGACTTTAAACTGATACAAATATGTTGTGCAAGATTATGCGCAGACCCTGTTGGTTGTTGGCAATTAGAAAAGTCATCTTTCTTTGGAAAGATTTCTGAAAATCTTTTATCTTTCTCTGTTTTCTAAATTAACTAAACTGGGCAGGTGCAAGACAAGCGCATGCATTAACAGCAGTGTAAGCAAGTACCGTTGGTCAGCTGTGCCTTGCTAAGGACTGTTGGCGTACGCTGGGCTAGAATGTTTGTGGAGTAAGTCAGAGTGGTCTCAAGCACTTTCCTGGTACTCTGTCAGTTTTTTTTCATGGGGGGGGAAAAAAAAAAAGTAAGAAATGCTGGTTTGCTCTCCCTTTCTGGATTTAATTTATGCTATGGTACCTCCACCATACCAGCTGAACTTGATGGTTGACTAAATCCGTGCCACCTCGCTTTCCACAGAAACATTATATGAGAAATGCATTTTATGTGCCAGAATATTTATACGAGTTTGTACTCCTACTCCTGTGCGCACTTCACTGCACTTGTTCCTTTTGCTTTGATCAACCGCTCCAGAGTTATTTGCAGACATCCACATGCGTTGGAATAAGACATTCAATCCTACCCTGTCCAGCAGTGTCTTATTGTGAAAGCCAGTGTGATATTTGGTGGCATTTAAGACGTGTACGCTGTTACCTTCCAAACACTCGCAACACTGACGTACTCTTTCAACTGTGAAAGATCATCTGTATCGTTCCCTAGCCAACAAATTCTGGCATTGATTAACCCAAACAAATCTGAGGCTTTTGGCTTTCACACTTGGTCCGTTAGTTCTATCCAGAATAGGGGTTAGGATATACAAAACCTATTCTGTTTGGCAGCTTCTCCTCCAGCTACTAAGAAAAGCCAAGCTGATGTCAGAACAGGAAGATTTGCGGCGCAGTGACCAGAGGGAGTGTGTAAAAGCCTGCATGTGGAATGAGTCAGTCTTTCCTTTTCAGGATGGCTCTAACTGCATCTACCATCTGAGAAACCAGTGCAGCCCGTTGCTCTGGTAAAGAAGAAATCACACCACAGGAAAATACTACTGGATTTTTTTTTTCCATGTTCCAGAAGAAGGGACAGCTTGGCAACGGGCAAGCTTTAACCGTTTTAAGTTATCTTGCCTTTTCCACTGGTATCCCCTCACTCAGTACTTACATCAGTGCTGGTCTGAATTCTGCTGTGTTTTGTCAGTCTCCCTTCAGCTGAATAACGTGATCTCTCTCGACAGCTTCAATGGGATAGAAAGAGATTTTGGGAGAACTTAAAGGAATGAAGGTATGTGGCACCCTAAAGACTTCCCACATGCAGATCAACCTCCTCAGGCAGCTTCCTAAGTGGCTTTGTTGTTTCAGAGCCGAGCACGCTAGCGTTACCCAGGGGAAAAAGCCTTTGGATGATGATTTCTGCATGCACGTTCTTCTGATCCTAAAGAAGTCATCTGCAGTAGGAATTTTCCCCAGTATTTCCACCACCTGAAATTCATGCACAGCACTGATGTTTTTGAGCAGTATCTGTGAAGCACTTAAGGGTAATGGAATAAAACAATGGTTTAAAAGAAGGCCAAGAGAAAATTTACAAGTAAATAGGGTGTTCCGGTAAATAGTTTTAGCTTTTTGCAAGGAGAAATAGAAAATTTCTTTTGTATGCTTCAATCTTTCCCCAATGGGAAATAATTCTCCACCAATGAGAAAGTACTCTGCTAATTTCTTTTTGTCTTCCAGTAAATGTAAACAAATATGAAAATGTATTTACAGGTATTTGTTACACCCTCACTTTTGTATTGGTTTGTTAGGGTATCTTTAAGCCAGCCTCGAAGGTAAGCGGAACATACATAACTAGGAGCATAAAGCAGGCAGTTACGGACCAGCCCACAGAGACGAAAGGTGGGATTTCGGGAGCCGCTGGGCTAAGCAGGAGTGTGCTCCCCAGCAAGGCACCTCTGGTGGCTTTGCTGGCCGGGCAGGAGGGGAAGGGTCCATCCCTGCAGCTCCCTGGAGCCGACCCTCAGCATTGTCGTGTTTCCATCTCCTGCCAAGCTCCCTCAGTGCCCCGGCACTGGGGCCTCGCCCCGACAAACCAGCCTGGCCCTTCCTGACCAGCCTTGCTCCTTCCTTCTGTTACATTCTGTACCTTTCTGCATTTCTGCTTTCCCTCCTGAATACCTGAGCTACTGGCAATCCTGTCTCAACAGCTCTACCCCTGTCTGTAATTTTACCTTTCTTCTCTCTCCACAGGCTTCCCCACAGCCTTTTTTCCTGCAGTCTGAGGCAAGGAGCAGAGCTGGGCCTTGGTGCCCAGGCTGCTGCAGCCCTGGGAGAGGGGAGGGAGGTGTGTGGCAGGGGGGGCATACTGCAGGTCTTCCTCACATCAAGAAAGTATCGTTCAAGTGCCAGTTGGAGGAGTGGGCATCCAAAGAGCTCCAAGTGTGGCTGGTTTTGCCAGAACAAAATGAAAACTAGGTTTCGAGCAGCTTTAAGAGGGGCTGGTGTAGCTTGGTAGAACAAAATGCTCCAATTTCCAGCTGCATGTGTCCTAAGTTCATGACCTTTCAGCCCTGCTCCGCTCACTTTCCATAGTTCAACAAGTTCCAGCTGTGGGTAGGACGAGGCTCCATCCGTGAGCGGGGAGGCGGCAGCTCCTGGGCACATCACAGGCTTCACGTAGTGAAAAAAGCCACTTGTTGCCACTCGCGCAGCCGCTCTGCCCTGAGCTCTTGAACCACAGGAGTTACTGAACGGAGCAGAGTAGGGAAGTAGGCTTGCACACGAGAGTGGGAAGATACAGCTTCAAAACCAAGCCCAAGTTTCAGCCATGTTTTTTAAGTTGTTTCTTAGTAAACTATATTTGTATTTAAGAGAGTGATCTAGCTCCATCTTCACTGTGGTGTCTGTAGAAACGGCAAAGCTTTACCCTCCATTCTAGGGCAAATTTTCGGTACTGAAGTGTTGAAAATCCAGATTTCAGTTACTAAAAAAAAAAAAAAAAGAACTAAGCAGTTCCAGGAATTCCTCTCCTGAAAATATTTTGCAGATGAAACTAGCCAGTCATCTCTGGGAAAATAATTCAGGACAAGCCATACCATTGCGTGTGTT